AGATGGCCATGGGTGGGATTCCGGGGAAGGGAGTTGGGGCCACCTGGGTAGGGCACTGAATGGTGAGAGGGCTGCTTTGTGTCTGTAGCACTGAGCATAAGGAGACTGGCCTGACTCAGGATCCTGGAGAGAGAGAGACAAAAGGCTGTCAGTCTCACAGGCAATCTCTGTCTTTGGGGTCAGGTCTGGGAACTAACCTCACTTTGTCACCTCCTCCCTATTCATGGTCTTCCTGTGCAAGTCCCCTCATCAAGCTTCAGTCTTCCTGCCTGTAAAATAGGAATGCAGTCCCTTTCTTGCAGCACTTGGGAGGATTAGAATTCAGTTGTATGGCATGCCCAGCACTGTCCTGGGCCCAGAGGAAGGGAAGGAGCCCTATGTCCTGTGTAGCCTCTAAGTCAGAGGGAGACCTAAAGAGAGGAACCAGCAAGAGCGAACGGGCAGCTAAGATTCTTCCTGTGGTCCTTCCCCCGCCCTCCACGCCATGACCTCATCTACAGTCATATTCACTCCCCTTGGGTGCTGGGAGGAACTCAGGCTGGGGTGGGGAGAGAGAGCCAGACAATGGACTGATCTAGTGCTCACCGGGGCCTCAGGGCAGTGCAGCTTCTGCATTTTCTGGCTGCCCTGAGGGGTGACACGGAGTGGAGGAGATGTGAGCAGCTCAGAGTTAAGAGCAGCAGATCTGAGCTGGTGCCCTGCTTCTGCCTTTTCCTTTCTGAGCTTTCCCTTTCTGAGCCTCAGTCTTCTTACCTGTGAAACGGGGATAGTGATGGTGTTTGCCCTGGGTTGCTGTGAGGGTTAAATAGGAGAAAGAAGGGTGTCAGGAGATTAGGCTCGTTGGTCATCGTTCATACAGGCTCCACCCTCACTCATCCTCAGCATCACCTTGCTCTGGTCTGGGTCCTTGGCAGCAAGGCTTGTGCCTGGCTATGGATTTGGCTCTGTGAGCCTTGGCCAGGGTGGCAGCCTGGGAGGGTCGCATGGAGCAGGGCTCCAGGACACATCTCTCCCCTGTATGCCCCTCTCCCTGTCCCCTGGGTGCCTAAAGCTGGTGCCTCAGACTTAACGGGGTGCCTTTTCTAGCGGAGAGCCTCCTTGGTGTCTGCAAGCTAGGGCTAAGTGAACAGTCGCCCATTGCCTGGCCACAGAGAAGGCGGCCGGTTTGGGGTCCTCTAGCTGCATGGGATCAGCCTGGGCCTGCTTGCTCCTTGAGGTCCTCATCACTTGTACCAGCTTCTCCCTGCTGCCCTTTCCTGGTCCTGCCCTGAGTTGCGTGAGGCCTGTGTGGTCCTCCCACCCCGCTCCACCCAGGTTCTAGCCTGTTCCCGCTCCACATACAGCTGCTGCAGGCCTGTCCCTGTGCTCTTCCCACCCAACCTGTGCCCTGACAGCTCCCTGCTCTTCGCTAGGGTCCTCCTCCTTGTGTGTTCAGCAGCAGCTGCTCCGGCTCCTCGTGGGCTTCTGCCTTATACAGACACCTTAGATCTCTGAGGCTCCTCCTATCCAACTATGATTACATTATTAATCGGGAAGTTACAGGTTTCACACCAACCCTTCTTCCTTGTTATGCATGAAAGCAGGGACCTTCTGAGGTACATAGGCCCTTCCAACTACACAGGTATAAACCAAGGCCCAGAGAGGTTAAGATGCTTTGCCAGCAGTCACACAGCAAGTGGAACGAAGATGAAGGTTTTGTGGTGGTCTTTCTGGGATGCTGAACAGGGGGATGGCAGGAGGAGAAAAGGCTCAGATGCGGGGGTGTCCCAGAGGTCAGGCTGGTTAGCCCTGAGCCACCCTCTTGATTCTTGGAGCCTGATTTCTATTCCCAGAGACCTCACCTCCCTGCTCTATTAAAGACTTGGCTGCAGCCCAGAGACCATTGAGGGTTGTTTTCAGCATATCCAAAGCTGCTTTCCTTCCTGTTCACATGGTAAGGACAGCAGAGACACTGACAGGCACTCCCCACTGAGAGAGGGAGGCCTCCAGTGGGGCAGTGACCAGACAGCGCTTCCCTGCCCCCAACACACACACTCGCAGGCACACACACACTTGTGCACATATACACACACAGACACTGCTCCCTGACGGGAAGCACCTGTGTCTCGCACAGAGCAGCACAGACCTGGGAGGCTGGGTCCTGACCGACTGGGACCTTACTCTTTCTGAGCCTCCACTTGCTCCTCTGTAAAGTGGGAATAAGATAATAAATAACAGTACCCTCCTCTAAAAGGTCACTGTGCAAGAGGTGACTATTTGTGCTTGCCTGGTCTCTGTCTGCCACGCACCAAATCCTGGTAAATGTTAGCTATTGTCGTCTCTGTCCTATTTTAGGGACTCGGTCTAGTCTAATTTAGAAGAGCTCGACCGGGCCTGTATGCTGGCTGTGCCGCTCAATGTGTGACCTTGGGCAACACATGTGACCTCTCTGAATTCAAGGTCCTCACCTATTTGGGCACCACTCAGGGCATAAGGAGGAACCCATGGTGCCTGGTCCAGGCTCCAGGTTAACTGCTGGTGGTCTATGGTGTTGGAAATGTGGGGCCAGGATCCCCGCCTTCCCTCTGAGAAGCAGAACGCTGTAGGTCTCCAGGAGTGGGCAGCCTCCGTGCCCATAGCTGCAGGGGCATTGTGTGACACCGTTAGCCTGGCTGGTCACAGCCTACCTTCTTCAGGACCTTTGACCCTAAGTCTCCTAAACCAGAGCCCGTCTTCCACCCAGGGAGGTTAAGCTGGGTGGATTGAGCTCTGAGCTGGGAAACAGGAGCCCAGGGGCCCTTCCTGCTAGACACTGGGGTTGTCCTCGTCCCGCTCTAGGCCTCAGTGCCCTCTCTGAAAGGATGGAGTCGGTGGGTTCCCCTCCCTGGTGGCTATGCCGAGTGTTTACATTTGAGCTGAGAGGAAGTGGAGCCTTTTGAGGTCCCTCCTTGGGGTCCAGGTATGATGATCTCATCTGGAATCTTGAGAGACCCCTGGGAGACCAGCAGAAGGGACAGCAGATGGCTGCCTTGGCCTCTTCAGTGGGACTGGCACGCTGCTCCTGTGGCCACTGCTGACCCACCCTGCTGGTCAGTTCTTCTGGGGCTGGGATGAGTGGATGGGGCTAGGGCTGAGGACAAGTGGCCCAGAGCCAGGGTGGCAGATGGACAGGCAGCCTGGGCTTTGGCCCGAGGGAGGGACTCTGTGGGAGAAGGAGGACTGGGCAGGCCTCCTGTTCCTGTTCTGAGCCCACAGCTCAGCTCTGTCCTTCTGGGTCTGTCTGTCAGCTAGTTGGGCCCCTGGGGCCTGGGAAGAAACCATACATTTGGGTCAGGTTTGGAGGCTGCAAACCCTCAGTGTTGATGGGTTGGGGTCTGAAGCTTCCACAGACGCTAGCTTCACAGAATCAAAGAATTAGACTCATACAGGGCAATGCTGACTAGGAATGGCTTGCTGCAGTTAATGCAGTGGGACAGTCGCTCTGGCCCTTTAGGCCTCTCTGTTCATTCCACTGCTATTGTGCCACTGCTGTGTGTGCCAGGCATGGTCCTGGGCTCCACCTGTTTATGACATCCTAGTGGTAGAGACTTTCCACAAGCAAGCAAACAAACAAAATAACAACTATCACAAAAGCTTGTGATACCTACCGTGAAAGAAACCAAAGGTGTAAATGGACATAATAGGCCTCATGGGAGGTGTCTCCAAAGAAGTGGCATCTCTGAGGAGGTGGAGGGCAGAAGGCTGAGCTGCTGAGCAGAGATGAAGGGCAGAGAAATCCTGCAGAGGGAATGGTGGGTACCAAGGCTTGGAGGCACAAATCAGGGGACTTCTGTTGCGGGGAGAGCCAGAGTGGCTGGGATTTAGCCAAGGAGAGGAGGTGTGAGGCAAATGAAGGTGAGAGGTAAGCAATGATTAGGCCAATGGGAATGGTACCCCTGTGACAGAATTGGGGTTTCATTATGAGTGTAGTGAAAAGTCCACCACCATGGAGCTTTTGCTGTGCTTTGCTTATTTTTTTTTTTTTTTTTTTTTTTTTTTTTTTTTTTTTTTTTTTTTTTTTTTTTTTTTGGTCAGGGGGATTTGTGCGTGTGTGTGTGTGTGTGTGTGTGTGTGCGCGCGTGTGCACATGTGCGCTGGAGATCAAAGTCAGGACTTTGTACATGTGCAGCCAGTGCTGTACCACTGAACTACGCCCTAGCCCAGGTCAGGTGTATTGAGGTATAATTTGCATATACAGTAAATGAGTTTTAATAAATGTATTCCGATCTGTAACCATCTCCCTATTAATATAGAGGGCAGGGCTGTGTGTGGAGCTCAGAAGAGCATTTGCCCAGTGTATGCAAGGCCAAGGTTCCAGTCCCCGTCCCCAGCCTCCTCCCTTCAGAAACCTCATGTCCTATAGGTTCCCTCCCTGCCCCTCAGGGATGGCTGAAGGCGTTGCTGGGTTCAGACCACTCATCGTCACTTGCCGTGTTTCTGCAGAGGAACCTCACATTTGGTCACTTTGAATTCCTACAGGGCAAATTCAAGTGTCTGCAGTCACATGCAAGGGTCCCCAGAGGACCCTAAATCTAAACTTCTTTTGTCCTTACTGTATAGATTTATCATCGTAGGTTTGTGCAGGTTTCTCGCAGAAAGGAAGCCTTCTTAGAACATGTAAAATGTAGTTAGAAAGTGGAGCTCTGCTGCTCCTGCTTTTTGCCCTGATGGTGGACATGGGGTTTAGTATAGCAACTTGGACCCCCCAGAGGAGGCAGCTTTGGAGAGGACAGAGGTTCCTTCTTATTTTGTGTCATGGTCCCCTTTAACTCCTCTGCTGAAAGTGATTTTCAAGACACTGCTTTAACATGAAATACAAAGGAGACTCACTATATCAAAATAGTTATGAACATAGATTCCACAGTTATGAAATAGTAATATACATGTTTATTAGCTCATGAGCTCTCGTGGCAGATCTGTTAACTACTATAATTTCAAATACTGATGAGTGTAAACAATATTTTGACATTTCTGCAACAACTATTACGGGATATAAAAATATCTGTGATTACTTTTGGTGGCAAAGTCACAGGTGCTACTAACAACCCTGGTTTGTTTCTTGGGTTCAGAATAGAAGGAAATAGTAATTTTTAGTGAGAGAGGTGATGGCCAAGTTTACATACTCCCTAAGTCATGATTCAGGGTAGGGATCCTAAGGGTAGTGGTCTGTGTCTTGCCTGGAGGTCTTTGACCCCTCTGGGTGGGCTTGGGCACGGTCCACCATCTTCCCTGAACGTCTTTGAGGCTCTTCATCTGTGGAACAGGGATGAGCATTCCTGGCTTCCCTGAGCCAGGGCTTTCTACAAGGATCTGTGAGATGATTGTGATGGAATGAATGCCTTTGTAAACTGTGGAGCTGCCCTTCAAGCCTGGCTATTCTTAGCAGTAGTGTGAGCTCATCTTGGGCCCTTTGGCCTAGCCTGGACCCAGAGACTCTTCCTGACCAGTTCTCCAGGACTTCTGGGGACCAGCCATGGCAGGAGCAGCTCTTTTCTGAGAGGCTGCTTCAGGCAGGCAGCCCTTGGGATCATGGAGGTGGACAGAGAGAGAGGATTTTGTGGGCAGGGAGCGGAGGCTTCCTGGGAAAACAGACACAAGCCTCCCTCCTGGACTGGCATGAAGGTATGAGAACAACTCAGGATCTGCCCCCGGCTCCTCTGCTCCTTTGTAGTAGGCCTGGAACTAGGATTCGGAGAGCTCACTCCCCTGGCTGTGGAGAGAGACTACAGGCAGCAGCTGTACTTCTACTCAATCTTTCTTTAATAATTTGTCTACCTGTATTTTGCCCCGGGCCATGTTGGGAACCAGCCCTGAGGGAAGGCAGAATTGAAAACAAGACAAATCCAACCTAAAGTTATTAGCACAAGGTACCATAGAGGTCAATGTGGGGTCTGAATCAAATTAGGGGAGAATGTTCTGGAAGAGAGTTAGCCTCGTGAAGGCCATGTTAGTGTGGGACGAGCCTGGGTAAACCCAGAGAACACACAGCTACAATGCCCTGGCCCAGGGCTACTCATCCTATGTGGAATCCAGCTCTACTTCTCCTTTGCTGGAGCAGCTCTGGGAAACTTCTGAGCCTCCATTTCCTCATCTGTAAAATTGGAACATTTTCAGCTCCTGCCTCAAAGAGCTAGTAAGAGAATAATAATGCACATATGTACCTGGCCTGGGGCTGGAACTAGGAAGGAGTGACCTTGTTTCAGTCATGGTGGATTTGAGGGCTGGGGGTAGGGGCAAGACTAAGTGAGGAGACAGAAAACTACCTGCTTAACCCCATAGCAGAGTGGCCCGGCAGCAGAGTAGGTGTCCTATCCCTGTCCGCCATCTTCCCCTCCATTCCCTTTGCACTTTGGTTTGGAGAAAGGGTGTTCTTACAGAAAACTACCTGCTTAACCCCATAGCAGAGTGGCCCGGCAGCAGAGTAGGTGTCCTATCCCTGTCCGCCATCTTCCCCTCCACCCCCTTTGCACTTTGGTTTGGAGAATCAGGGTGTTCTTCAGGGGCAGCTCTTGGGGAAGAGAGGGCAACTTAAAGACAGGGCTTGTGGGCTGCACCAGATCTGTCCCTCTTTCCCAGTTTCTTTCTTTCTTTCTTTTTTTTTTTAATGGTACTGGGGATCAAACTTGAGCCCTTGTGCTTGCCAGGCAGGTGGGAGAACCACTGAGCCAAATTCCCGGCCCTATTTCCCAGTTTCTTTAGCATGGCCTTGGGCCCCCCACACTCTGAGGTGGGTACTGCCAGGTGGTAGGACCTTTTGTGTCTTTTGGTGGAAGATGAGATTCAGGGTTCCTCCCATGTTTGGAGAGAGACCCCACCAACCTTGCTCCTATAACCAGTTGGCTTCTCTTTTACTTCTGGTGGAGTAGAGGTCTGCAGGGCCCCTGGGCTGCCTATGAAGGAGCGGGGAAGCCCAGGCTCCCCCAACTCCCAGCAAACCGCACAGCTCCCTCAGTTAGGCCTGTCACCCAAGAGCTTCCCTAGGGTGGAGCCTGGAGGACTGAGGACCGAGGAGGATTCCTGGGCTCAGTGTGGCCTCTGAGGGTCCTGTCCTCCGGGGACTGTCCTTATGCCCGGCAGCCCCTTTCCCTGCCCCCACCTCAGGCCTGCAGTCGCCAGCTTCTGCTGCCCACATCCCAGCAGACGTCTGTGCAGGCCACAGGCTCGCTTTTGTCAACTCATTCTCTCCTGTGGGTCCGTGCCAGGAGGGACTGGCCCGCATTTTGCCTGCAGCTGGGAAGGGCCCCTCTCCCCAGAGGCCTGCCCCCCCATCTGTTTGTCAGAAATGGACTGTGGTGAAGGGCAGGCTTTGAGGAGACAGCTGCTCATATTCGGAGACCATTGGTTCATTCACGGCTTCAGTAGATGCTTGTTGAGACCCTGCCTGTGTCAGGCTCAGGGTGGGGGACTTGTGCTGAGAGATGAGTCTCTTCTCCTTTTAGGGGGAAGAAAAAATAGAAATCCCTTGGAGTTTCTGATTCAATAGGTCTGCTTTGGGTATGAGAATTTCTAGCAAGTTCCCCTGTGATACTGATGCTGCCTCTGTGATTCAGGGCCAAGTACAGGAACTATGTGTGGTTTATGTTTGCTGTATTTTCAAAACTGTCTTTATGATCGTGTTTTACTTTCATAAATAGAAAAATCAGTTACTGGGCTGGAGTTGTAGCTCCACAGTAGAGCACTTGCCTAGCATGTATAAGGCCCTGGGTTCAGTCCCCAGCATGACACACACAAAAGAAAAGAAAAGTCAGTTACTGAGAGATACGTTTCCCCAAAATGACTCCAGTGCTCTGGGTGTGGTCCTATGTGAAGAGAGGTCATCTTCCATGTTCTAAATGTTACACATCTGTTAACAGGTTCATGATGGGGCCGTGATTTTTATGTCCTGTTGAGTGGCATAGGACAGTCCCATCGGGTGGTACAAGCCACCCGATGGGACAGTCATGCAGGTACCACTGGTGGTTCAAGCCAGTGGGAATTGTTAATATTGCCCAGCATCATGACCTCGTGTTACATGCATTTCCCCTGGGCTCATTCTGGGCTCGAGGCCCACTCAGATGACCGCATCTTCTGCATGAGCAGGCACTGTCAGTATGACCAGAGGAGGACTAAGTGAGGTGCTAGTAAGCAGCACAGCTGGGATTTGAACCCAGGCCCACGTGGCCTCGGCTTGGATGCAGCCATCTGCTTGTACTTTCTGGGTGCTGCTTCCATGCTGCCTTACTCCAGCAGCTGAACCGGTCCCTGTTCCTCTCACTTCCTCATTTCCCCAGCTGATGTGCGTCGACTGTGCCACTTCCTTTTCCACTTCGGGTCCGTCCACTTGGCTTGGTGTTGGGTGGGAAGTCCGTGTGTATCTGGGGACGGTGGGAGGGTCCTAGTGCAGTGACTCTCCCACTGCTGCTGTTAGGATCACCTACCTTGGGGGTGCTGCTGAGTGCAGTGGTGGCGAATGGGTACTAAGCCCTTCGTTGACCATGGTGTGAGACAGCACCTGTGGGGTCAAAAGAGGTTGTTTGTCACCTCTGTCTTCCTCTCCTGGGTGCAGATCTGTCTGAGAAAGGGCCCCGGGAGCCAAGCAGATGAGTGCAGAGCTCAGTCAGCTTTACACTGCCAAGAAGCGGCCTACAGGCTACCACTGGGCCTTGTCCCCAATTATGCCCTGGGCCTTTCCCCTTCTCAAGGACACCTCCAAGCTGACTCCCTGGAGCCCTGCCTGTCCTTACCCTGAGGACAAGTGTGAAGGTAGGTTCCCACACTTGTCCTCCCCAACCTCCAGTCCACTAAGGCTGGGGCAAGAGATGTGGGGCCAGCCAGGAGTTGGGGGACACACCCTTTCCTCCTGGGGAAGCAGGAGGAACAAGGAATCTGAGGGCCTATGTTTTGTTTTATGTTTGAAACAGGGTTTCACTTTGTGGTCTAGGCTGGCCTTGAACTTGCTGTCCTGCCTCATCCTCAAGAGTGCTGGGATTACAGGCGTGAGCCATCATACCTGGTACCTGTTTTCTCTGGAGAAGGGGACTCCACCAACCATTGGGACCTCTAGCTCTCCAGATCTGACCCACTCTCCAGAGTGGTCTCTCTGCTTTGGGGCCCCTCATCCCGCACCCCAGTTCCATCAGTGCCAGCCTTGGGTGCTTTCTCTGGCAAGTCTTCATCCCTTAAGACTCAGTTTCTGTTTTCATTCTGTGGACTTGTTTAAGCCAGTCAGCCACAACAGGCTGACTCTTTTTACCGGTTGTGAGATAATAACTGTACATCTCTTCTCCCCTCTTACACAGAGTGTCTGATGATCATTTTACCTTGGTTCTTCTCTTTTTGTCTTTTACCTAACTAGCACACCTTCATTTGTTCAGTTAATCCTGCTTGGGAGTTTACAGTCTGCTAAGCTGTGTGTAGGGTGTGGTGGACTGGGCACGTGGAGCAGCCTTCTAATATCTCACAGTCCCTGGGAGACAAACTTAAAGAATTTCAGATGCGTGAATCACTACAAAGGAGAAGTAAGGGATATCTGGGAACTGGTGGCAGAGGAAGTGAGGTCACCCCCAACACACTGAAAACCCAAACCCAGACTACTCAGCCCTTCGGGCCCCTGTGTGGTGACTCCCATCTGGTTTCCTCGCATTACCCCTTAGCTGCTTTGGTGTCCTTGCTGTATCTTGACACATTGAGTTCTTTCCTGCCTCAGAGCCTTTGCACACTCTGTTCTCTATGCCCAGAGTAGTCTCTTTTTGGCTCTCTCATATTCCGCCTTTAGAGTTGGGCTCTGTGACATGTCCCTAACATAGTACCTAAACCACCACTCTATTATATTACCCCTATCGCTATGCCTTTTATTTTATTTTTGCCTCCCTAGCACTTAACAGTATCTGGATTTTTATTTTTATTTTTTAATTTACGATGTGTTTTCCCAATGAGTCTTGGGGCAGAAGACTCCCCCACCTCCTGCCCCTGAGTTTAGCACAGGACCTGGTACATAGTCAGCACTCAAACGTTTATGGAGTATGCATCCATTTCCTGCTGCTGCTATAACAAATCACCACACATTCAGTGGCTGTGCCAGTCATCACTGTGACGGAATACCTGAGATAATGAAGATAAAAGGAAGAAAGATTAACTTTAGCTCACAGTTTCTGTCCATTGTTGCTTGGATCCATCAATGTGAGCGTGTGGCAAAGCAGAACATCGTGGGAGAGGAGGCTGCTCACCTTGTGATAGGAAGGGAAGAGAGAGGGAGAAAGAGGCCAGAGTTCAAGGGCACACCCAGCAGTGACATAACTTCCTTCCGTTGGGCCTCTCCTCCTAAAGGATCCACCAGCTTCCGGTGGTACTATAGGCTGGTGACCAAGTTTTTTGTTTTGTGTGTGTTTTTTTTGGTACCGGGGATCAAACTCAGATCTCTGTGCTTGCGAGTCAGACAGTGGAACCACTGAGCTAAATCCCCGGCCCACCAACTCTTGAGTTCATGGCGTTTGGGCAACATTTCAGATCCAAACCATTAATTAACAGTGGCCTCAGGCTGTGGATTTAGCTCAGTAGTTCCACTGCCTGTCTTGCATGTGCAAGGTCCGGAGTTCAATCCCCTCCCTTCAGATTACCATCCATTTCTGGAAGTTAAAAGTCTGAGAATCAAGGGGCTGGCAGGGCTACATTCCTTATGAAGTCCCTGAGGGAATATGCTTTCCCTGGCCTTTCCAGCTTCTGCTGGCAGCCTGTAGTCCTTAGCTCATGGCCCTTCCTCCATCTGCATAGCATATCACTGTAGCCTCTGCTTCCACCCGCAGGTAGTCTTCTCTCACTTGTCTCCCCTTAGAAGGATCTTTGGGATTACATTGGGCCCACCCACATAATCCAACATGAAAACAACGTGTGTTTAAATTTTTTAAAATTTAATGCAGTAAAGAGCATGTTACTATTAACTCCTCTCAGAATATTCATTCGCCCTTGCTTCAAACACACTTATCCCATTGTTCTTGGCGCTTTCTGAAGCCTTTCTGAAAGTTCTCTTTCGTGAGCTGTCATGGCTGCCTTGATGTCCAGAATCGATTCAAAACATTTACTTCTCATGATCATTTTGACTTTGAGGAAGTGCTGGAGGTTGCATGGCACCAGACCCAATGAATAAAATGGATGAGGATACAACAGTGTTTTTATAGGCTTGCCTTTCCATTGGGATGGCGCTCACCAGAAGCGTTTTGCTATATTTTTTATCATAACTCAAAAAGACACTCATGAAAGAAGACTTCCATAACTATTTCAGAAAGTGGCAAGAGTGAAGGTTTAAGTGTTTGAAGTAGGGGGATTGATGGCAAAGTGTCTTTTACAGTAAAAATACATTTAAAAATTTTAAATGCTATTTTATCAGCCCATGTAATCTCCTTCTAGCAAAGTCCTTAACTTAGTCATATCTGCAAATCCCCTTTGGCATTGTAAGGTAACATAGTCACAGTTCTGAAAGTTTGGGTGTGGATATCTTTGGTGCTGCTACTCAGCCTGCCACGCTCAGGCCCCTGTGTGCCAGTTCAGCACAGGGTATGGCAGGCAATGAGGTACCCCGGCCTCTACCATGGGACTCAGCCATTTGACCGTTCCTTTTTCCCACAGGATGAGATTGAGGAGCTTCGGGCTGAGATGCTAGAGATGCGGGATGTCTACATGGAGGAGGATGTGTACCAGCTGCAGGAGCTGCGGCAGCAGCTGGACCAGGCCAGCAAGACCTGCCGCATTCTGCAGTACCGGCTGCGCAAAGCCGAGCGCCGCAGCCTCCGTGCTGCCCAGACTGGCCAGGTGGATGGTGAGCTCATCCGAGGTCTGGAGCAGGATGTCAAGGTGAGCCCCTGGGCCTCCCTCAGCCTTCACAGGTGATCTTGTTGGGGCTGGGGCCGTGAGCCTTATTGGGGTTCAGGTTAGGCCTGTGGCTCGCTCCTGTGTGGAGGGCCTCAGTTTTCCCGTCTGCAAAATGATGATGATCCCTGATGAACCAGCAGGCCTTTTGCGAGGGGCACTTGAAAGTGATATCAGAATGTGAATTCTATTAATAGCAGCAACTATTTATTGGGTATTAGCCATGCACCTGGTGTTGGGCTCCAGGTGTCCTTGTGCACTTCTGTGGCAATTTCGTGAAGTTGGATTAGGTTGGTTCAGGTCTTAGCTCTGATATGCCCAGATTTGTGATTTGGAGAATGTTACCTATGTTTCAGTTTCCTTCTCTGTAAAATGCATATAAAGACAGCTCCCACCTCACAGGGTTCTATGAAAATTAAGTGAGATAATATATATAAAATGCCATTATAAGCACTAAAAATCATGAACTGTTGTTATGTCCTTTTTTTGAACAAGGTTCAGATATAGGAAGTACCTGTCCAAGGTCACAGTCGGCCCCTGTGGAGGTGGAAGAGCCCAGGCCCATCAGTCTCCCAAGCCTCAGGGTCTGGCCCACTGCTTTCCCTTCAGGAAGCAGGGGAGGGGCTGCGGGAATAGCAGGTGGGGCCTACCTGGCTTGTCTGTGTAAGCCCTGGTCTGGGACTGAGAACTCCTTGGGGATCCCACACCACCTTCCTCGTTTCGGAACTGAGCCCAGTGAGGGCTCAGCTGTTGGAGCTGGGGCTGGGGGCTCCTGGCACAGCCTGGGGGTCCTCGGGGATCTTCTTGCAAGGCTGATTTCTGAGTTGAGGCCTGAGGGAGAAGTGAGCCTGTGCCAGGGGGAAGAGGAGAGTGCTCCAGGGAGATTGTCTGTGCCAGGGCCAGGGGAGCAGGTAGGATGGGGAGTCAGCACATACTTATATCCAGGGCAAACCCTCCCACTCACATCCTATGCTAGAATGCACTGGCAAATTCAAGGCTCAGAAATGGACTATATTAATTAAGGATCATGAGAGCTGATTTCAGAGGGGACAGAGAGGGGAAGTTGCAGTGAGGGCCCACACAGTGCATGCTGTTGCACCCTTCGTTATCTTTTCTGTGGGCAGTGGGGACATGCAGGAGGAAACTGATCTCATTAAGAAGGGTGAGTCTCCAAGTCCAAACGGTACTTCTGTCTGAGAGGGCATAGCCCCCAGGATAACTGGCTACACAAAGCTCACATTCCAAGCGCTGCTGGCCTCCGTGGTGTGGAGAATCACTTAATCCCAGGGGTTCAAGGCCAGCCTGGGCAACAGAGATGCTGTCTCCAAAAAAAAAATCCAAGTGCTGGCTTGGGAGGAGCAGGGCGAGTGGGGTGGTAGAGGAGAGTGTGTGGTGGTGGGTATGATTGAGCTGGAAAGGCTCAGACAGAAATTTCCGTTTGGGCCTGGTTCCCTGAGGAATTCTAGGAGTGACACAAAAATCAAACTGAAGGGCTGGGGATTTAGCTCAGTGATTCTGGCAACTGCCTCACAAGCACAAGGGCCTGAGTTCCATCCCTGGTACCAAAAAAAAAAGAAAGAAAGAAAGAAAAAAGATCAAACTGAAGAGAGATAGAGAAGAGGGGTTGGAGAACAGGCTGGGGCCCTGGCTGCTGCTGGCCCAGCCTGCCTGGGGGGCGGGGCGAGAGCAGCTGGGGGTGTGTGTGTGTGTGTGTGTGTAAGGGGGTTGGTTCTCAGGAGTCTGGGTGAAGGGGTGGCCCCATCTGTTGGGATTTGAACTAGCCAATCAGCATCAGTCTTGCCCCCTCCTCTCCTTCCACCCACCCTGCAGCTGCAGCGCTGAGCTCATCCTCTGGCTTCCGCCTGAACTGGCCACCTCTGGCCACCACCCTTCTCCCAGTGTTCAGGGTGTTCTGGATCCTTTTTGGAAGTCCTTAGAATGCTGACTTCCCTGGCATGGCCTGGAAGGACCAGATGCCCCAGTGGGGTGGCCTGTAGGGGAGGCCCCAGGGCCTATCAATAACATGTTCCCTTCCTAAGACACCAGTGTTGCTGGGGAAAATGTTCCAGCTTTGGGTTTTATTCCTGGGTGACCTATGCAGGCTGCCCACCTCTTCTTTGAGCCTCAGTGTTCCCTCATCTGTAAAATGAAAGTGACATTCCCACCCTCCTGGGGTTCTTGGGAGAATTCATGACACAAAACCCAGAATGTTACCTGGCTAGGGGTGCTCCATAGCAAGAGTTCCCGTCCATTTTGCTGAGAATCAGAGGTGGCAGCACATCTTGAAGCCTGAGGTCTAGGAGCCAGTGTGCCAGGGAGCTAGGGACCAGAGCCTGTTGGTAGTGTTTGGCAGGAGCTGGGCTGGGCACTATAAACAGTGACCTCATGGCTGAGGGCCTTTGTTTGTGCTTTGGGGATTTGCTGTGGTTTCCGGAAGCTGAAGCTGCCTCTCCTCCCTTGGTATCTCGGCTCCACTACTTTGCGGGTAGCTGAGAGGATCAAATGAGACAAACATGTGGGGCCCTTCAAGCACCTGCATAGTAAGCCCACTGTTGGGGCTTTTTAGAATCTTACAGTAATATGATATGTCTTCAAGCTTTGTTCCTATAACAGGATCAGGTTGAGAGCAAGACTTTAGAGATGATCCTTTGATTTTAATGTTTGGTAGCTTCTTAACTGTGACCTTGGGCAAATGACCTTTCCTCTGAGCCTCAGAATGGGGATAATAAAGTGCTTGGGGTGGTGGGGGAGGATGAAGAGTACTTGGTAAGCACTTGGGGAAGAGCTAGCCGATTCGGGAAATCGCCTGTGAAGGTTCAGAATCCAGGACCACTGAGGATTGGGGAGAGGAAGGGGAAAGCTCGGGCTACTGCCGGAGCAGTTGGCAGCAGCAGTGCTTTTACTCCCTTTAGCCTCCAGGGCGGGCACAGAGAATTACAGGGTTCTGTACCATGGGCTCTTTTGTCCACACTGGACTTCTGCAAGCTGCCTGGGCAGTCTTTCTTGATGTCTTAGCTCTGGGGGTGGAGCACATGGGGACACAAGTCTATGAAAAAGGGCACAAAGGAAGAAGATCCAGGAATTTACTTGGATCGTTATTTCTTGGTGAGGACCTGGTAGCCTCTCCAGATGGAGACAGTGGTGGAGGTGGGGCAGCCCTCGTGTAGGGAGGAGCCAGCCCTGGTGGGAACAAGTTCAGGAGAGGACAGTGGGAGGGCAGGTGCTGCTCCCACATAAATTCAGTCACTCACTCCTTCCTTTTCCTCACTTTTTATTTGTTGGAGCCTGGGATTTGTCTGTTAATCCAACAAGCATTTTTCAGAACACAGAGATGGAAATGGGCATCTCTGTGCAAAGTTTGTAGTTTCGATCTCTATACCCTACTATTCCTGCCTCTGGTGCCAAAGACAAATGAATGAGTAAAATGTTGATCAGAGCAGAGGCTTTTCCTAGATGATCTAATAGCCCTGAGCTGGGGTTATGACCAGAAGCCTAGGGCTGAACATGTCCAGCAGAAGTCTGGGTTGGGTTAAGGTGGATAAAATGAATACACAGCCAAACCAGTAATGTCTTTAAGATGAGGTCTCACTACATTGCTCAAACCTGGCCTTGAACTTGCGATCCTCTTGAGTAGTTGGGATTGCAGGCATCTGCCACTGCACGCAGCAAAGGCAATAGTCTTGACAGTGCAGTGAAAATCTTTATCTTAGGCCAGAGATTTAGCACTGTGGAGCTGTGCCTGCCTCACAAGCACGAGGTCGTGAGTTTGATCCCCAGTACCAGAAAAAAATTCTTCTCAAAAATGTTTGTCTTGATACCACCTTGAACTTGTGGCCTTTCAGCAACTGGGAATAGTTCTTAAGTATTTCACACAATCAAAATGGGTCAACCAAGTTCATGAAACTGAAATAAATTTAACTTTTTTTTTTTTTGTACCAAGGATCAAACTCAGGACCTTATGCTTACAAGGCAGATGGTGGAACCACTGAGCTAAATCACCAGCCCAAACTTAACTTTTGTAATGCATTGAATAGTATTAGTTGTTGAATTGTTTTTCTTGTACTTTTTGAATGCATTCTATGTTTCAACCACCCGCCCAAGAATTATCCTCACAGCAGCCCTCATGAGTATATTCTGTCAGGCTCCTTTTGCCATTGACCAGACATTTGTCCTGGGTCACACAGCCAGTACTAATGCATACAGGCTTGAATCTAGTTTTCCCTTTGCACAGTCCTGTCTGTCATTGAGGGATTGCTTACTCTACTTTATGGATGAGGAATTTTTGGTAACACAGAGAGGCTGTGGAGAAGCTCCTGGGCTAGAAGCCCAAGGAGATTTTTAGGGCCTGAGGGGACACTGGGCAGTGGAGGGAGGAGTGGCAGTGCCCAGCTTCCTTTCTGGCTGTTGTTTTTCCTGGCCTGCCTCACACACTGCCAGGGGGTCTGTGCTGTGCTGGGTCTGGGCCCAGGCAGAGGGCAGAGCTGTGGAGGGCCCTCTTCCCTTCCAGCAGGGAGGAGGTACCATGGTCATTTCCGATACTGGCAGGCATGGGGTGCTGGGCTGTCTGCCCAACACACGAGTCCTGTTGCCTAAGCCTTCATGTCCCTAAAGGAGCCCCAGATATGCTGACTCCTCAGCCAAACTCCTACTGATCTCTCAGCCCGCACTTACTGTGTATGATTCTGAGCAAGTCACTTCTACTCCGAGCCTCAGTTTCCCTGTCAGTAAAATGGGGACAGGATTGGGGTGGAGATGAACAAGTCAGCCACTTAGTAGGAATCAACCAGTGGCAGAGTCCAGCCTGCCTGTCCAAGGCAGAGTCCAAGACTGGTTGCAGTTTTCCAACTCAGAAGAGCCTTTCTTGTCCCCCTTGACTCCCTGGCCTACCATACTTATCCATCATGGGACAGGAAAGAAGAGGGTGTCTTCATGGAATTGGGGTGCTTTTGCTGCAGAGGCCTGGAACTGCACCCTGCTAGCTCCCTCAGTAGGGATGACTTGGATACCTGCCCAGTTTTTGTCATTTCGGGAATGTTCTACATCCCAGACAGTTGGAAACAGGCCTCAGGGTTACTGTGACCTCCAGCTAGCCCTGACCCCCTCTGGACATGAGCTTTTCAGAGCAGCAGCATCTGCTCACCAGGCACTCACTGTGGCAGGCACCAAGCCGAGGCTTCGTGTGTACAAGCTGATTGGATCCTCCTGTTGGTCCTGTTACTGCTTCTCCCGTTCTACAGCTGAGGAGGCTGAGGCCCATGCTGGGAAATGACTTACTTGTTCAGGATCATGTGCCACCTGTTTTGCTCTGTCTGAGCTTCGTCCAGTTCACACCCTTCCTGAAGATGATCTCTGGCCCCACAATAGACCCTGGTGAGGATTTGGGCCAGAGGTGGCTGAGCGAGGGGCAGCATTAAAAGCCCCAAGCAAATGAACAGGTATTCCTAAGAACAGACAAGACTGTTACAGCTTTTGGAGGCAGCATGTTGGGAGCAATCAGTGCTTAGGTTTGGGTTTTAGGTCTGCTGCGTTCTAGATGCATGCGCCTTGGTGAGTTTTGGGACCTCTGTGTGCCTCACTTTCCTCATCTGCTAAGTGGGGGTAGTGAGATAGGAACCTGTGTGCTTCCAGTTGCTCTGCAGGGGCAGTCGGTGCAACCTACCTTGTGGGGCTGTCATCTGAGCTGGTGCCCCCAGCCTGCTCACACCCTCCTCACCCCCACCTTGGCCCAGGTCTCCAAGGACATTTCCATGCGACTGCACAAGGAGCTCGAGGTAGTGGAGAAGAAGCGGGTGCGGCTGGAGGAGGAGAACGAGGAGCTTCGGCAGCGGCTCATCGAGACCGAGCTGGCCAAGCAAGTGCTACAGACAGAGCTAGACCGGCCGAGAGAGGTGAGGGCGTGTCCGCCTGTAGACTGTTCGTCCCTTCCTTCCTCCAGCACACATTTCCTGAACACCCACTGTGTACAGTGTGCTGGACACTAAGTATCCAGCCATGAATGAAATGCACCTAGTCCTGTCTCCCAGGAGTTCACAGGTAAATGAGAGAGGGTCACCCACTAAAGAACCTCAGCCTCTGGAAGAATTTGCTGAGAACACATGCAGCAGTGGCCAGCACAGGGCTCTTCCCACTGTGCCGCGGTTTCCTAACCTGTGAAGCAGGCAGTAGTGCCCTGGTCATTGTGAGGGCCAACTAAGGAGAAACCCCAGGAACTTCCAGGGACTGCCACTGGGTGTGGGATGAGTGCTGGGCCTTGGTTTCCGGCGAGTTTCTGGGTAGCAGATGCTTCCTGACTGCCCCTGGCACCATCCTTGCTCAGCCCAGATCCTCCGCCTGGCATACCCTCTCCTCCTGTTGTGTGTTAGGTACCGTACTGGTGAGTTCATCTCCAACAGCTCCTGAGAAAGAAGACCTGTCCTCAAGTCCAGAGTGCCCCTTCAAGGCTGAAATCCTCCTGAGTCCAGGGTCTGCATTCCAGACAGCTGGGTGGCCTCTGGCCCCAGAGGCACAGCTAGGCTTTGGCTGGTTGGCTGATTAGGAGGTATCCTAGGCTTGTACATTCTTCTGGGGCACACTCAGCATGGTATGTTTGCCCAGAGGGCAGGTATGAGAGCAGCCCAAGACAGAGATGCCACAGCTCAGAACAGAGCAGGCCCTCAGCTGCCCTTCCCTCTGGGTGTGTTGGTGTGACATGCCAATGCCTGTCTTGTCAGGATGGAGAGAAGAGGCATCTTCTGCCAGGGCTGCCCTCCTTCAAAGTGTCTTGTTGCTGCCACCCGTGATGGTGAAAACAGGAGACACTTTTATTTTTATTTTTTTAACTTGTTTTTTTTTTTTTTTGTTAGTGCATATTTGTCATGCATATCGATCACATTCATCATAAGAAATTTGTACCTGTACATGATATATCTTGATTCTTCTTTTTTTCCCTGTTCCCCTCCCCTCACTTCAACCCATCTTCCTGGGCAACAGGTTCAGAAAATATCTTATGGTTCTGCCATTTCCTCTTGTGGGGAAACTGAGGCCCAGAGAGGAGCAGCTTGCTAAATTTACCCAGCCTTTCCTTGGAGATATGGCTGCAACCTGAAACTGCTTCCCCTCTTTAAGTCTTTCTTCCTTTGTGGTATCAGGATAATAACAGTACCCAACTTACAAGGTTGTTTGGATTTTTAAATACGATTGAGTAATCAGAGAGGCTGGGGGCATAGCCCAGTAGTATAGAGCTTGCTTATGAATCTTTCAGGTTTTATTTTGTTTTGTTTTTGTCAATGTCTTGATGTCAGTTGCTGGCCTCAAACGCCAGGGCTTATGTGATCCTCCTGCCTCAGCCTTCTATTTGGGACTATACTTGCCCAGTTAGAGCATGTACTTACTCCGTAGGTTTAGTTTCCTGCACAAAAAAACTTTTTTTGAGTAAGCATAGACCACTATGAAGATGTTAAAAGGAGTAAGTGGTATGGCAGTGTCTCAAAACATTAAACATAGAATTAACCACAAAATTAAACATAGAGTTCTAACTCTGAGTGTACACCCCAAATTGAAAGAGAGACTTGAAAAGACAGTTGCACCCCTATGTCCAGAGTTATTATTTATGTCCAGAGCATTATTATTTTGGGGGGGTATCGGGGATCAAACTCAGGTCCTTGAGCTTGTGAGGCAGGCGGCAGAACCATTGCGCTAAATCCCCAGCCCTAGAGTAGCATTATTCACAGAACCAAAACATAGAGCAACCCAAATGTCCATCGACAGATGAATGGATGAACAAAGTGTGGTATTTATGTATGTGGGGCTATTGTTCAACCTGAAAAATGAATAAAGCATGGATGAGCCTTGGAAACATTAAGCTAAGTGAAATAAACTAGACACAAAAGCGCAAATATTGTGTGATTCCACTTATATGAGATAAGAAGAGTAAATTTGTAGAGACAGAAATAAAGTAGAGGTTGCCAGGGCTGTGGGGGGAGTCAAGAATTGTTATTTAATAAGTATAGACCATCTTTCAGTTTGGGATAATGAAAAGTTTGTGGAGACAGGTAGTGTTACAGCTGCAAATTGTGAATGTACTTATGGCCCCTAAGCTGCATACTTCAAAATGATTAAGTCTTGGGTGCAGTTCAGTGGTAGAGCGTGTACTTAGTGTATACCTGGCCCTGGTTCAATCTCCAGCACTGAAAAAAAAAAAAAAATCTGAAATGCCCTTGATTCTTCCTACTCTGTAACTCTTCACCCAGTTAGATCAGCCAGCAAACACAATAGGTTTAACCTCTTCAATGTAGCTCAGATCTCCTCCTCCTTTCTTCAGCTTCACTGTCCCCTATTTTATGTCAAGCCTCCCCCTCTGTAATCCACCTTTCATACCAGTCTCCCTCACATTAAAAAATAAAATATTGGGCCGGGGAATTAGCTCAGCGGTTCAGTGGCCTGCCTTGCAAGTGCAAGGACCCGAGTTCAATCCCTGGTACCAAAAAACAACAACAACAAAAAAACAAAAATAAAATATTTATATACTGATACAGAAAGATCCCTAAGGTAAATTGTTAAGAGGAAAAGGAAGTAATAGAACTGTATGTATTGTGTTATTATTATACTAGGCTGAAAAGCCATACACAGCTGAGTGATTTTGAAGCATGCTTGTCCGTGTGTGAATGCATAGCAGAAGTCTGGAGGAAAACCTGATGGTCTGAGGAATTAAAATTGGTGGAGTACAAGAAAGAATGACTTCTGCTTTTTTTTTTTTTTTTTTTTTTTGAGACAAGGTCTTGCTGTGTAGTTCAGCTGGTCTCTAACTCACAGTGATCCTCCTGCCTCAGCCTTCTGAGTGCTGGAATTACAGGCTGGTACCACCACACCTGCTTCTTTTTATTCTGTTAATGCTGTTTTTAACCTTTTGTGGTACTAGGAATTGAAACTAGGGTCTTTGGACATACTCAGTCATTGAGCAATACCACCAGCCCAAGTTAGGAGTTTTTAATAAAAGAGTATCCTCAGGGCAGGTATGGTGTACCTCTAGTCCCAGCTACTGGAGAGGCTGAGACAGGAGGATAGCTTAATCCCAGGAACTCAAGGCCAGCCTGGAGAACAGGGTGAAACCTCATTTCGAAAATAGAAAAGCTGAGTGTGGTGGTACATGTCCATAATCCCAGCTCCCTGGGAGGGTGAGACAGGAGGACTGAAAAGAAAGTTCAGGCCCAGGATGGTCACATTTGGTGACTTAGTGAGACCTTGTCTTAAAATAAAAGAGGGTAGGGAGGGGATGTAGCTCAGTGTGAAGGCCTTGGGTTCAATCCACAGTACTAAAAAGGAAGGAAGGAAGGAACGAAGGGAATGTACTTGGCCCTGGAATTTAAAATATTAACTGTAAAGAGCCATGTGTGGAGCCTGGCACCGAGTAGAAGAAACCCTCCTGCAGATGTCAGGGAAGCTAGTCTAACCCTTCTCATGTACCTGTGGCGTCGTGGAATTGTGTGCCAAAGACTAGAGCCTGTGTTTATTTGCTGTTTGTCCTCCGCTCCTCCCTCTCCTTCCTGACATGGTTTCTATGGAGACAAGGGTCCTTCTGCAGTTCTGTGCGCTACCATCTCATCGAGATCTGCCTTTGCTATCCTGACAGGTTGCTGAGGCGATGCTGTCACCCAGCGGGGAACAGAACCCTGGCCTGAGCTGATGTGGTTGCCATGGAAACAGCTCTTGGCAAGAGAGAAGGGAGGCGACATGGCCTCGCTGACTTCTGCGGTGGCACTGTGGCCCAGCTGGGCTGCTGCTCAAGCATCATAGCACCAGCCTTTTCTATCCGGTCTCGTTCCCCATCCTCTTGTTTTAGGCAGAAAGCCAGTGTCCACATTGATGTGATTTGCTGTAACATAGCTGCCATGCCTGAGCCTTAACCTGCACCAGGGCCTGCTCCCAGCCTGGTGCACGTGTCCCCGTGTGATTTAACCCTACACACACACACACACACACACACACACACACACACACACACACACGGCTATCCTCGCCATTGTGTAGGTTCCACTCTTTACTTGGCATTTTTTTTTTTTTTCCTGTGGTACTGGGGTTTGGGTCCAAGGCCCTTATTCCCAGTCTTGGCAGTTTTTAAAATGTAATTTAATTCACAGACTATACAGTTAACCATTTTAAAGTGCATTCTTTGAAGTGATTTTCTTTCTTTTCTTTTTTTCTTAGTACATTTGTGCTGTTGAGCGAGCATCACCGTGATCTAATTCCAGAACATTTCATTGGCCTCAAAAATAATCCCATACCTGTTAGTAATCACTTCCTGCTTCTACTTCCTTCCAGCTCCTGGCAACCACCGATCCACTTTCTGTCCCTAAGGATTTGTCTGTTCTGGATATTTCCTTCAAATGGAATCATGCAATGTGTAATTTTTTTGGAGGGGGTGCTGGGGATCAAACTCAGGTCCTTGCCTTTACAAGGCATGTGGTAGAACCACTGAGCTAAATCCCCAGCCCAATATGTAATCTTTGGTGACCGGCTTCTTTTTCTTAGCATAAGGCTTTCAGAGTTTAGCCCTCCATGTTGAAGCCTGTTTCAGGGCCTCATTCTTTTTTATGGCTGAATAATAATCCATTGTATGGATAGATCACATCGTATTTGTTCATCGTAAGTTGATGGATATATGTACTGTTTCTGCTTTGGGGCTATTGTGAATAATGCTTTCACGTTTCAACTTGAACTTTCATGTTCAAGCTTCCGAGAATATGTGTTTTCAGTTTTCTTGGGTATATATCTAGGAATAGAATTGCTATATATTGGTGGAGCTGAGGAAAGACAAAGATAGAATTCAAACTCAGGACTCTACATTTCTTAAACCCTCTCTGACTTCTACAGTGATGCTCCTGCTTTCCATGCCCCGTCTGGGGGCTTTTCT